CCCCGGCGCGGCCGCGGGGGGCGCCCCCCCCCCCCCCCCCCCCCGCCGCTACCGAGGGTCGCGGGCGGGCGCCTCCTCGAGCGGGCGCCTCTCCTCAGCCGTTCGCCGCCGCGGCAACGCATTCGCTTCCGCAGCTTCGTCACCACGGCCGTCGCTCAACTTTCCGCTTCTCTCACAGCATGCCTCCCAAAAAAATCCCAGCGTTTAAATTATTGGTGCTTTGTTTGGACTTTGGCCCCGTACTGCCCGATTTTCACATCTATCCCACTTACAAATAAAAAAGTAACTGGGCGGGAAAAGCGGGCTGTGTTGAATCTGCTGAGCTGGAATCACCACTGGGGATTCTCTTCACGAATATGCTTCTGTGAATATCAAAGCTATGTAAAAGCACGAAATGAATGAGAAGGTCCCCCTTTAAGACAGACGAGTTATTGCGTGTTTGTGTTTAAGTTTTGGGTTGTTTTTTTTTTAATTACAATTTTCCTCCCCAGCGTTGCGGGAGGTGCTGAATGTGCGGCGGTGAAACGGCAGGCCGGTAAATAGCAGCCCGTCCTCGCCGCGGGCTCGCCCAGGAGGCGTCATGGCGGCAGGGGGCCTGGCGGGGCTCCTGCCCGCCCAGACCCAGCTGGAGTATGCCCTGCTCGACGCCGATACTCCCCAGGAGAAGGAGAACTTGGTCTACCAGTACCTGAAGAAGATGGACAGCCGGGAGCGGGACCTAACGGTGCCCGAGCTCGGCAGAGGTGGGTGGCGGGGCCCGAGCGGGGCCGGCCCCGCGGCGGAGCGCGGTTCGGCGTCCAGGACCCGCCGGGCGGACGGCTGTAGGGTCTCCCCCGGTAGAGGTGGCTGAGCTCCGGCGCTCACCGTGTGGCGTTTTCCTTGAAGTCCCGCTGCCTGCGAGGTCCGTGTAATTACGGCCCCGTTAGCTGCTTTTTTAAAAGGCACTTCTAGTTACAGGAAATGTCACTCCCGAAAGCACCAGGAGCAGAGGACAAGAAAAAAGAACCCCTTTATAAATGCTCCCCCTGCTTCTGGTTGCAAAAACCTGTTCTGTAAAGCCTCCCTTCTAAACTTCTACTAGCTTCACTAATGTACTGTTTTCTAATAAAGCCTTTCCTTTCAGTACAGTATATTGCTATCTCTCTCCTCTGGTCATAGTGAGAACCTTACCAACTCTCACAGCTTCCTCCTGAGCTCACTTGGTTTCACTGCAGCCGCTTAGGATGTTTCCCAGCTCTCTCTCCCCATGACTTAACTGTGCTTGTCAATTTTCACGTCCCTGATAATACAAACTATGCAGGAGATGTCATCCTCCTTCAGTGGTATGCCCATTTCCCTTTCACACGTTTCACACATTTCCATATCTCTTCTTGTGCTTAAGTGTGAAATCAAAGGTTGTCTTGGAAGATCTCGCAAGGCCTGCCCAGGGTCCTTGTAACCTTAGTGAGGCTCTCTGCAGCTGTGGGAGCTGACATCCCACTGCAAGACAGAGACCTCAGCGGGTGAACTTCAGGGTTAAAATCACATGCATATCGTGGGAATGAATTCTGACTTGTAACCAACGGAGCAAAGTGAACGCTCTTTCTGTCTAGATGTGGACCCCTGAATTGAATTTTCACTTTTGTCATTAGTATTGTTTCACTTTCTGTGTTCTGTCAAAGCTTATTTTCTCCTCTAAAAAGAGCTTAAATAGGTAGCCAACATTTTTCATTTCCAGTAGTTTTTTATGAAAGGTATTTTAATTCTAGTGAAAAGGGTAGCAATGCCATAAAATAAATGTTACTCTTTTCTTTTAAAAAATAAACAGTAAAGTATTGCACTTACACGGAAATAATGCATAAACTTGATAAATTATTATTGGCACCAAATCTGAATGTGTGTGCATATATTTATGTTTATAAATATGCACACGCATTCAGATTTATGTTTATAAATATATGGAGGTAGAGACCAATCGTTCTCTTAGTGAAACGGAAAACAAGCCTCCTCCTGAATGCAGCAGCAATAACTTCTGGGGCAGTAGGAACTTAGTTTGCTGAAACTGTCAGGGTGGAAGTTTTGAGGATTTTTAGATTAGCGTACATTTTTAAAAAGTAGTCCTTTAAAAATGTAGTTCGGCTTTGCATTGTATCACATCTATCTGTTTCCCCCCCATTATTTTCAGAAATGTTGAGTGATAATAACAGCAGACCATATTCTAGGATATTTATGTCGTATCTTGATACCAGTTTCTTATGGGATCAGAGGAGTATCAGTTACCAGTGAGAAAACAATGCTTTCCTGTCTCAAGTGGTTAAAATAAATGACCAGGAGTACTATGGGGTGTATCTGAAAGGGTTGTATTTCTTCCCGTGTAACAGGATTAATTTATACCTGTCATTTCTAACTTTGAAAATCAAGATCAAAACTATAAACACACAAATATTTCAGTCATCTCTGAAATTAGTTTTTTGCAGAACTGTTGGAAAAATCGAGTTCAACAGTTTTTAGTTTACTAGCGTTTATGTGGGTTTTAAATAAATAGTTGTTGCCCATATGACATTGTTAGAGTTTGAATAATGTACATCGTGTTTTAAAATGTATGAAAATTGTTCTGAGGCTTGCATGCCCTTTGTATTAAAAGGTGCCTATATAAATATATAGACCACACTTCCAATACTACATTAAATCTTGTTAATAATATTTCTTTTCATTTACTAATTATGAAGAATTGTGGAATATAAGGATGAGTTGGATAAATATAAGACTTTTGGTTTGCTTTTCTACCTATGTAGAAAGCGATGTTGAACTTATTTTTTAAGTGAAATGTGCTGGGAACGTTGTGTGGTGTTGTGCAAATTAGGTATAAGTGTCTGCCTTTCCCTACCCTTCCCTTAACTGGGGATCTCTGTTCTCTGTATTCCAGATCTACAATGGTTAAACACTGAAGGTCCTATTTCTCTACACAAAGACCTTTGTGGAAAAGTTGTGGTGTTGGATTTCTTTACTTACTGCTGCATCAATTGCTTGCACCTGCTGCCTGATCTCCATGCATTAGAGCACCAGTACTCTGATAAAGGTAAAAATGCTTTGGCTTGCTTGGAATAGAATTTCCTGGCAGTGTTGCAGGCGGAGTAGCTGAGTCACTTTGTTGCTGGTTACTAAACAGCTGGCAAAATTTCAGGGGTGCCTAAAAATGTCGTCTTATCTTTTAAGTAGCCTAAAACAGGTGACTGTGTATACTCTCATCACATTTTTAAATGGGGTTAAATAAGGTATCTGTTGTGTCTGTATAATTAAAGAAACAGGATATGTGCTTAAAGCCCAAATCTGATATCCTCATAAATAAGGCTATCTGCAAAAAGCTACGCAAAGGATGTAAGATATGGGCTCAAAGTTAATCTACATATGTAACCCTCTACACTTGACTTAGGAACCAACTGTGAGCAGATCATAGTAAAGGTGGTAGAACGGATATAGTTAAGATTACTTGTTTTTTTCCATTCTAGCTGAAAGAACATCTTTGGTATTGGCATCACCTTTGGTATTGGCATCACCTTATATACGACTAATAGTCCTGTATCCTGGAGAGGGAATTAAGCTCTTTAGGTTTCATCTCAGATGTGAATTTATATCTCTCAGTGAATAAAAATGCAGGGTAATTACTAATTAGAATGCAGTCTCTTGTCATCATGATGGCTTGTCAGAGATAAGCTGTGGTCTTACACAGAATGTATCAGCTACTCACTTATCTTGGATAATTTAATAGACTGAACAGTGAAATGAACAACAGTGTTACTTTCAGCCCTAAAAATAGTATATTAAGCATAATATATATATGTAATAAAAATAACTGTCTTCAAATGTTTAAGTCTCTGATTCTCCATTGGTGTTTCTGATTGATTTTCATTTTGGCAGCATTTATTTTTATGTGTTACCTACTTTCACTAGAAAAAAAAATTACAATGCCTTTGAAATTTAAAGTTCTTAAAGTAGTTCACTTATATATTGTAGGTTTACATAGTGCTTTACAGAAGACTCTAATAAACTAATTTTTCTACCTTGAAAAGCTAGCTGTTTGCTTTGAAGAAATTTGAGATCTGGTATAATGTTTTAGATATGAGGAACTTTATCTAATAAGGAAAAACTGTCATGGCATTTTTTTGGGGAGGGAGGTGGTTTTAAGTGGAAGATGATTAGCAAATGATAAATGGATTGCTGTGGATATCAGGCATGCTGGGAAGAAGGTCTAAATTGAGATTTCAGAAGATTACATTGATCGTGTAATGAATAATATCTTTAAATGATAAACATTTTGTAGTATGGTGTTACTGTATTAATATAGCTGTCATATCCTTAATCTGTTTTTTAAGACGAAGCTGTTAAATCAGTTGATAAAAAAAAAAATAGTTTTAACAACCTCTCCCCACAAGTTTTCTCTTTAAAGTATTTGAACATCTCTGTACTAGTGTAGAAGAGGCTGCAGCACTCTGAACTGAACTGGAGGTCCACTTGGAGACGCTTTTCTTTGTTTGACTTGTATTAAACTTACTGTCATAGGAGTTATTACTTGAGGAAAATACTATGATGATAGGTGATAAATTCTTTTTGCATTTGAGCTATCCTAATAAGTTCTTTTTGAATTTGAGCTGTCCTGTTCCTACAGGAAACGGAGTTAGAAAAAAGATACTTGGGGTGAAAGTGGAAAAACAAGTGGAGGTAAAAGGAAAGAAGAGCAGGTGTGTGTAGCATTAATCTTAAATTTAATGTGTTAGGAAACAGAGGATAGCAGTTGGATTCAGGAAGAGATTAAGGTGCTTGGTGTTCAAACAAAAAGAAAAATACGTTTGGTTTTTTCACTATAGATCTTCCTTTTGGTCGTTTTCTGTTGTTTTCGTGTTTTGATTGTCAGCCTTTTCAGGATTATTTAATCTTTCTTTGCTGTGCTAAGTGTGTAAATTTTAGCATTACAGTAGTATAAAGCTATATATTGAAATATTTAAGTATAAATATATCAAGGCAGTAAGGGTTGTAGTTTTTTAAGCCATAGAAAAATACTTCAGTAGATGGTTTTATATCAGTGTGCATCTTCTTCACCAAAGGCAAACATAATTTACTAATCACTAGGAGAAAGAGGAGAGTTGTTGACTTGAGAAACTTGAGAAAGATAAAGGTTGGAAGAATAAGACTAAATTAGAAAGGATGTCAGACATACAAAAAAGGCTTTAAGAATGTCTAGATATATTGATGTAGGTATCTTGGTATTTGGCCTTATGCTGGAGTTTCATTCTATTTTCATTTACTCTCTTTAGTTAATGGAAATCCCTTCTCTCTTCAGGGGATGGGGGACAGGTTCACTTTTGGTTGGGTTGGTTCCGAAATCTATCAGCTTGTTATTGCAAAAACTGATTTTGGCGCAAAAGATGAGCGACACGATTTCTTTTAGCAGCCACAAGTTCAATTAAATATATAGTGAAACTCCAGCTTTACTATACTTTAGATTTGTAAAGACAGCATTTATTTACACATTTCATGTATATATTTATCGTGCTATAGAAGTGGCAGAGGGTGCTGACCTAGCAGACAAAATTAGTCAGAATGAAAACAACATCTTACTCTGACAAAGCATCTATCTCATAATGCATTTGGATCTTTAATCTATTTGAATATTTGAAGGAATGTTGCCTATATTTTTCTGCATAACTAAGAACAAACCTCAATATTGATATAATTCATAGCAATATCTTTTTTTGATTGTACATTGCGTATGTATATTTTTGATACTCTGATATATATTTTTTTTTAATGTGATTCAAATGCCTCTTATGTGGAGTTTATTGAAACTTCAGCAGTGTGATCATCAGACATGAGAAGTCTGAGCACAGGAAGCTGTAGTTTTAGTGTGATCCTAAGCTATTATATATGTCATTGTACATATGCACATAGTTCTATTGTCTGGAACTTCAGGAGATCTGTTTCAAAATGAAGACTGCTTTCCATAGGATTAAATGTCGCCTAGCATCTTTATCTGATATGTTCTCACTGCTATCTTCAGTGGTGCTATTTCTGTTTTTCAAGTGGCATTCAGAAAGCTATTTTAAACCCCAGTGCATATTCAGTTCATGTTATCAGAAGTCCAGAAATGACTTCTATAAGAGGGAGTACTTTTTAATATTCAGAAATAGCTTGGCATAAATCCAGTGTTGTGCTCTGGTATAATCCTTCAAATAAAGTGTTTTAAATGGTGTGCATATTCATCTATCCAAGCATAGCATCCGTCAGTTTCCACGAGAGTTTTCTTCATGAAAGGATGTTATAACTTATTTGTGCTGTTCAGGTGTTCAGTATAGAATTGTCTTTCTAGCTTTAATGATATGTTTGAAGGACAAATATAAGCGCTGCTACTGATCCTATTATAGTTAAATTGTTTGACCTGCTGTTTGGAGTTCAGCAGTTAATGATACTACAACTTCAGCTGTCTGATATCGCAACATGCTGTGCCTATAGGATTGATAAAGACTATCAGTTATAGTGATTTTTTAATTCTGTATCTGTGAAATTGTTATATTCAACTAAGTCTTTTATTGTGCAGCACTTTACCCTTTCCTGTTGTCACACTGAAATATTACTGTTCCTGCCGATGCTGCTGTTCTCCATTAACACTGTTTTATGGTTGAGGAGAAGGGCAAAGAGAGAAAAATAGCTTTCCATTTCTCTGTAACTAAATAAAAAGCCAACCTGACATTAAATTAGGTTTGGTTTTTTTTAGAAGGAAACAAACTCGTCTGAGCTCAAATAATACAACTCTTTAAGACCTGAAATAATTGCCTTTCTTACATTTCTACCACAAAACCAGAGGTGAGGGTAGAACAAAGATGTCCAGCTAGCCAGATTGCACCTCTACCGTAAAGGTAGGAGAAAAGCATAAAAGTAATACTACATTCCATTACAAACCATGTCCTTGGATCAGTTGTTTACGGTTGTTACTTTTAGGGCCCTGGTTCAGGCCCTCTCTGATCAGAGGGCTGGTTTCACCGTTCTTGCAATGGCAAACTCCACTGACTGTAACTGCAGGACTTTTGGAGGACTGTTTTACAAAAGCATTTTATTTTTACATATTTGCTTGAAGTTTTACAAATAGTGAAGCCCTTTAATGGATTGGGTAGTAAATGCCAAATAACAGTAATGATCTGATATGTAAATTTCCAGTTTAGAATGAATTGTGTGACACATAACAGCTGATGCTGAATGAAATAAAATGTGTAAGACAGGTGAGTTATTACAGAGAAAAGTACACTTCTTGTGGATTAAAAATTAAAATGCTAGAGTGCTAAATAAATAAAATTTTCTTTGATAAGGAGGAAGGTGCATTATGCAAGCTGCAAAAAGCTATTTTGTGTGTGGTTTTCCTTCTCAGAGAGCTAATTCTGGATTTTGCTAATTGCAATTGCAACTGAAAGAGTGAAGAGAGAAAAACTGGGGGGGAGAGGGGTATTATTACCTATAGAGGTAGTTCTAGCAACTACGAGAAGCTAGAAGATGAGAAATTAGTTAGCAAGGTGATTGAAAATATTTAGGTTATGTTCTGATTAGATTTGTGATAAACTGATGAAGACTTTTCCTGTTGTAACATGGTTAAATTTGAATGAGAAAAAAAATGACTTCTAAATATTAAGTATCTGCTACTACAAGTAAGTGAAACAGTTCATACTTTCAAGTTGTCTTAAAACTTCGCTGAGAAAACATTTATTTAAAAAATTGTCTTTTCTAGATGCGTGTCCTTTCAGGAGGGCTATTTCCATTGGCTGGGGGTTTGTGTAAAGCAAAACAAAATTATATTAGAGTAAGCACAAAATAACAGAACTTGCTTACTTAGAGATTCACATTGCACATCTGCCTTTATCCTTTATAACTAAATTGTATCCTGCTTATCTAAATTTAGTAGCTGTTCAGCCAAACCTATTTTGTCTATAGTAGCACAATACATCATTTTCAATTGCAGTGAGTATTTGTACGAGCACAAATTAGTCTGATTTAAGAACCTTATGAAGTTCTTCAAGGATCTACACTCGTCGTATTTCAGAGTATAAGCATCATCAGAATTGGATTAGATTGGATAATGGCTGTTCTTCAGCATGCCACCCTGTACAGACTCCAAGTCGTCTTTGCTTTTTGGTATTACTTGTATTACTGAAAAAATACGGTACTACAAGGAATCCACCTATAGACACTGGTGACTGGGGGAAGAAAGGAAATGCTACAGATACTTGAATGCTACTGATAAAAGGGTTTATAAATGTTTTTATAGACCTCACGGGGGGAGGGGGAGGCAAGTACTTTTTTGTTGTTGTGAAAATAATTTCTAATACTGCAGTAAAATTAACTCAAGTTGGGTGTCAACTCTAAGGATATTTTCCTTTCCCATTTAATTGCACTCCTCTCCTCAAAATAACACAAAAGATCAGATGAAAATTTAACACTTTTACTTGGACAAAGAAGTAGAAAGACCCCAATTGTTATTTGTGGTTACAAAATGCTTATGCTATCCAGAAACATGAGTGATTTTTGGATAAGTAGTAAAGTTAATGTCTAAGGATTTCCATTAGATTAACAGTTCTGGTTTAAAATTATTGTATTGCAGCTTTCTACAACTGCATGGTTACTGTTGTTATCTTCCTTACTTCAGTTAGAATTGATAAGTTACTTTGACTATAACAAGATTATGCTTATTGGTAGTAGTATTTTTTAAGTACAAAGTGAGATGAAGTATGGTATTGATGTCACGTGCACAGTTTACTTCATTTGGTAGAGATTATGCTAGTAAAACATAATTTAAAGCCCTGAAAAAGGATGTAGTCTTTTTTTTTTTGTCTCCCCCCCCCCTTCTTTTTTTGCTCCTAGAAAGTACTGAAAAGTGGCTTGACTGAAGGCTTGAATGAAGGGTCTTCATTCTTTTTCCGTTGGGTAGGAAGGAGGAGTAGAATATTTGGGGCTGCATACGTAATTGTCTACTTAGGGTGGAAATAGATTTATTTCTTACCACAAGGGAAAAGCAGCTGAAGTCTGAGCCACAGATTTTTATTTCTGTGTTTGAATTTAATAAAACTAAGAAAATAAGCAAGCAATTCAAGGAAGCTCATAATTGTGTGCTTTTGATTGGTTTTAGTGTTGGTATTATGTATGCAGTGTATATAAGCAGAATTATATTACTTCATGCTTATGCAATGCCTTCATACTAGGAGTTCAAGTGCAGTTATCCCTGCTATGGGAAAACCTAAACTCTTCATTGTCTTTATTAACCAAATATAGAAATTAAGTTAAACACTTTAAGGGGAGGGGCAAAAATCAATGATTTAATCCTCTTTTCCACCTTTTTTTTTTTTTTAAAAAGAGTTCAAGCCTGCCTTGAACTTGTAACAAGTGCTATTTGTCATTTTGTCATAGTTGTCAGTGCTGCCATAATTATTTGAAATATAGAATACTGTATTGATTTCAGAAGCCTATACGTTATTTTTTTTACTGTTTGTCTAGAGTTAGATATGCCAAGGTAACTCTGGACTTCAGTGTTCAGTGTTACATTTGTGATTCCTAGTCAACTGTGGAAAAGAATTCATTTTCTAAAACACCATAGTTGTGTATAGGAATCGAAAGACAATGAGGTATCATAACATCATAAACATCTGAAAAAAACCCAAAGTATCAGTCGAACTGCTACAGCTTACCCATAATTATTTTGAAAGTATTTTCTACCTTAGTATGTAGTTCAGGAACTAAGAACAATTTATGACATATTAAATGTCAACCAGCTGGGGAAGTAATGGTCCTAAAGTTCAGTAATTTTACTGAAATGTTATTTCTGAGTTTCAGTATTTTGTATACATAGCTATCTATGTTCCTGCTGAGATGTAATTGCTTTTTTGTTTGTTCAAATCCTTTTTCATTCTGGAAAGCAGTCAGTCACATTGTGAGATAACTGTGTTTCATTTTTACTTTTTTTTTTAATTCAAATATAAATATGTTTCAATGCACAACTTTATTTTTCGTTTCAGATGGTCTTATTATTGTTGGTGTCCATTCAGCGAAATTCCCAAATGAAAAAGTTCTGGATAACATTAAAAGTGCTGTTCTGAGGTATAATATTGTCCACCCTGTAGTAAATGATGCAGATGCAACACTGTGGCATGAACTAGAAGTGTCCTGCTGGCCAACTCTGGTCATTCTCGGGCCTCGTGGAAATATGCTGTTTTCGCTCGTTGGAGAGGGACACAGAGAGAAGTTGGTTTTATTTACTTCTATAACACTGAAATTCTACAAGGAGAGAGGACAAATCAAAGATAACAACATTGGAATAAAACTATACAGAGACTCCCTCCCACCTTCTCCCCTGCTGTTTCCTGGCAAAGTGACTGTAGATAATTCAGGAGAAAGGCTGGTAATAGCAGACACTGGACATCATAGGATTTTGGTTACTCAAAAAAATGGACAAATTCTACACACTATTGGAGGTAAGGGTATATAAGTTTATTATAGTAATTTTGGTTTAGGAGTAGAGTATGTTTGCTGGGCTTACTAGGCTGATTCTTTTCTTGGAGGACCTAGCAGTTTATAAACACTGCCAGAAATCTTTTTTTCTACTAAAATCACTTTTACTGGATATGGGGGGGATATAGCATAGTACCATCAATGGGAGACTCTGTTAATGCAACTGTTTGAGATGTCTAATTTTTTTTCTTTATTCCATTGACTAAGTTTTGTATTTTTTGATGTCCAATATGAATTACAAAAAATACATTTTGTATTCTTCTGAAAGAGTTACAAATGGGTTTAGATTTAAGTGACGTACATCCACATCCAACAGCAAGGTAGGGAAAAGAAAAGTGACAATAATGCCTCCCTTTCCAATAGAAGAAATGACGGTTGAATTGTGGTGGTGGTGTTGTGCAGGGAGGGTTTTGGGGTGTGTGTTTTTTGGTTGGTTGGTGTTGTTTTTTAAATCAAGAGCATTCCTCCATAGGATCCCCTTCTGTTTTTTACAGGAGGGGAGAATTATATTAAGAACAGTGGCATTGCACTAGTACATAGGCACCTGAAAATGAAGTTGCCTTAGCGTATATGAAAAGGCCTGTGTTCTCACCAAAATTGAGGTTTAACATATAACAAGTTATGAAAATAGTGAAAGTTAAGTATTGTAAATGTAGTTACATTTCTTGCAAAGTTTATATTAGTAACATTTCAGCTTTAAAAAACTCTTTAACTTTAAAATCTCCTTAACTGTTTTTGTAAAATTACTATCTGCTTTACAGTGCAAATCAAGAAAATGTAGTTGAATTTGGGCGCTCTTTGTATGCTTTACTCTTTCATAAATGAAACATTCAGACTTATTCTTTTTTTTAATCTGTTACAGTGGTCAAAGTTACATCTTAAGGCACCAAGTACATAGCTGGTAGGACAGTCCATCTATGAGCAGCCATAACAGACAGATGTAGGAAATGGTTGAATCACCAAATCATTGAAAACAACGGTTCATTTATGTCTCAGAATCAGGACCTGTATGCTGATGTGTCCTGTATTACTTAGTCTGGTATTGACTAAAGCCTGTCCCATGGCAGGATCCTGCAAACCTCATAAAAATACCTGTGGCACTGCTGTTTAAAGAAAGGAAGAAAATCTCTTGCTATTTGATATAACAATGCATTGGATAGACAGTCTAATTATCCAGGTTAACCTGATAAAGGCATTAGTCTTAATACCCTTCTCCTGTGGGAAGTACAAACAGGATTTCTTATGACAAAAGTGAGAGAATTTGGTTTCTGTTTGATATGTGAGAGGAAGTCTCTGCTGACAAGGTACCCTTTAGTGTTCTGGGATAGTCATTAAACAGCAATTCAGAGGGAAGTGTCCTAACCTCTGAACTGGTACCCCTCCTTCCTGTGGCACTCTGTGCTATTCCCTTCCCTGGGGACGTGCACCCTCATGCTTACCAAGGGGAACTACTGGAATCTGACACACCAGCACCTCAGTGTTTCGCATCTGTTAAGGTCTAAATTGTCTTCTGACAGTAGGTTGTAAAAGTTTGTGTATTTCAGTGACTCAGTTAAATGATTCAGTGGGCAGAAAATAATGTAATGAAGTTGATAATACAGTAATAAGTGTGGGCATGCATAAAGGTTGAAATTACTATATTTGCATCATAAATCATGATGCACACATAACTCATAAATCTAAATGTCTTCTGCTGACACATACTGCTAATGCACTTTAAATGTTAATTCCTCTGAAATATGATGCTTACCTTCCTACTGTTACATTCAGGTCATGTTCCTTTCTATTTCTTGATTGTTCTGTGCAGAAGACTGTCACTCCATCATTCTCACTGTTCTTTTGTGTAATTAGTTCCATGTCATCTTTTTCCTGATTAGCAAAAAATGCTGCTAATCAAATATTTGTTTCATTTGTGATTACACCAAAATCTAAACCACTGAAATGGAATTGAGCTTTGGAATTTAAAGTTTTTCCTGCTGGCTTGCTTTGATGTAGTCGGGAATAAAAAAAAGATGTAGTTTTTTATTTCTATCTTCTGTTGTTGCTGTTGTCCTTTAGTACAAGGGAACAGGAGCTATTTAGACCCCTATTAAGACTTCTCTTTGGAAGATGAGCTTAAAGAAGCAGAGAACTTGTGGAGAATGAGTTCAAAACTTAATAGCATCAGGCTATTGTAATTACGTAGAACAGTGACTAAAATGAGACTACACAAAATATTGATAATGTAAATTGTACAAGGTGCTGTGAAAGCATCTTAGAATATGTAATTCTCTTACAGGTTTAAATGTATGCACTTTATTTTTAAGTTTTTTTTTCTAAAATTACTTTTGAGTCTGCTTTGTTTCATTTATAGGTCCAAACAGTGGAAGGAGAGATGGAAGATTTTCAGAGGCAGCTTTCAACTCACCACAAGGGATCGCTATAAAAAATAATGTTATTTATGTAGCTGATACAGAAAATCACCTAATTAGAAAGGTAAATTTTCCATAAGGAAATTGAAAATTTAATCTCTCATACCTTATTCTACTTACACAGGTGAAAATTTACACCAAATTAATTACTCTCCAAATACCCTCAAAATCAGGAAGGAAGTTTGGCCCAATATCTTATAAATAAATGCTTTGTGCAGTTTGTTTTTTAAAGGGCTATATATGCTTTTGTGCTTCCTTTCAAATAAGGATGATATGTGCTACTCGTTCTAGCATAACTGGTGGTTTTTTTTTTTTCCTAGTGACTCCTACTTTCCTGTTATGAGAAACATCTATTCTTAGTACTGGAAGCAAAAATTGTTTTTGTTTCACTTCCAGTAGTATCAGATTCTTATCTAAAGTTATTGTGCTACTATGGTTCAGTGAATACCTAAACTTTTGTTAGCTGTTTGGGTCTTTGAAGTACAGGTAACTTAATTTCAGAATTGTCTGCATGTGGATTTTTTTTGATTAAACACTTGCAAGGTTTTAGCATGTAAGAATGTTACTCTTCATATATATTGTCATTGTATCTTACATTTGGTTAGGTCAAATTTAGAATAATCAGAATTTAAGTTTGTTGAAGCAATATAATATTACCTTATTATTAAAAGTATTTTATGCATCTCAGAAGATCTTGTACTCAGATCCTCACCAATATGTCTGATTCACGATCAGAGGAGGTACATCCTTACTCAATTTGGGGTGCCTTTGTACTGTTAAGGTGCCTTTCTGCTGTTAAGTAGGTTCATTCTGTGTTTCATTTCAAAGCACTAGTCCACAAACTCCCTGCACTGTATTCATTGTAGTTGGCTACCAGGTTTTATTCTGGAAAGGACCAAGGCTCCCTGTTGGTAAAGAAACATTGTTACTAAAAATGAGTAGATTGTTCCAGGTTCCTTATCTTACTAATATTCATCACTGTAGCCTGGTCACTGCAGGAAATTAAGTGTTTCAGGTAGCAAAGACAGCACAGAAACATCTGAAGATCTGGATCGTACTGCTTCAGCGTTTTTCATGATCGTTAGCTGTTCCCTTTCATCTAAATGTGCTATGAGGGTATCTAAGAATTAAAGTAATACAGCAACTACAGGACGTGCTTTCAAATGTTTGTGCAGGCCATGGACCTTGCAAAAAGAATGCATTTACTGCTACAAAAGTTAGAAGATGCTATGCATGAAAGACTTCCTTTTTACATGATCATCACAATAAATTCATGAGACGTATTGGAAGTCACTTAGAAAATAAGCAAAAAGGGGAGGAAAAATAGAGGGATTTACGTTGCAGAAATGAAATAAAATAAAAACATTTTTTGCTCCAGGGCATGAAATAAACTGCAAATATAATTTGCTTTGTACAGATTATTGTATATAGAGATGGGAGATACTGTTACAGTATCTGAATTTTTATGTCCTATTCCTACAGAAGTTTAAAATAAAACATCCACATCCATTGTCCCTCTGAGTGTTTCTCTAGAAAATTTTGGTGCTTTCTTCTAAAACTGCTGAGCAAACCTTGACAAAGCAGTGTTAATTTTTATTGCATGTGGAAGAGAATTCCAGGCATGTGGTTCTCCTGCTGCCTACTGCTTCCCCCTTTGCCCCCCCACATCGGCAAGCATTGTGGTAAAATGAATTATTTTCCTACATAAACAAATACCTGAAATTTGTTAGGATTTGTTTTTTATTTGTCAGCAAAAACTCTGTTTTTGACATCTAGCTCAAATTATCTGTAACTTCAGTCAAGTTAAGGTTGTACGTTCAGTGTGTATAATTTTGCTTCTTGTAGATTGACCTGGAATTAGAGATGGTGACCACTGTAGCAGGCATTGGGATACAAGGTGTTGATAAGGAAGGTGGAGCAAAAGGAGAAGAACAGCCTATCAGCTCTCCGTGGGATGTGGTCTTCGGAAATTCAAGTATTGTATCAGTTGAGCTTTTAACATCTCATATTTACACATGCATGACTGCTTGCTAAATGTTTTCCTGTTTTGGTAATAATCTGAGATGTGAAAAAGTAAAGACTTTCTCTACAACTGAGTCTAAAGAACAGTGGTTTCATTTGCAAGTGATAACTGGAGTTCTGCTTTGGATCCTGAAAAAATGTGAACTGTTACTTGATGTGAAGAAAAGTTCTTTTATAGCAAGTTATATAGTTACTAGGTCCAAATACAGAAGGAAATTGTGATTGCTTCTGTTAAGCCAGTGCTTTATGCCAGGATCGCTTAAGAAGCAGTTACATTTTACAGGAAGTGGGCATTGTCTAGAAGTTCCTTTCCTTGACTATACAGACATGTCTGACCACTTGTAAATATTTGAGCTCAGGAAATAAAAATAATTTTAGTTGGGGACCTCTGTTTATTCCTGTTTAGGTAGTGTAAAATCATTAGACTCAAGATCATGATAGCGTCAATCAGATAGGAGAGGAATACCTCAGAAAAAGCCTTGCAAGCATCAGGGGGGTAAAAATCAAATCTTTGCATCATAGGATGCACGAATCAGCTTCTGAGGATTTAAGTAATTTTCTTTCCTGATTCACATAATACACACCTGAGCTTGACATCACATAACTGCCATGTTTTCAACTGTTATTAACTGTGAGTTGATACTCTTATTTTCTTATGTTTCCATTTCAATATAATTTAGAAGTTGCAGATGCCAGTTTCTTAACAATGACAGAACAATGCTTTAATGTGGTGTAAAACCCTTAGGTCAGTATTGCAGGCATAAAAATTGACTTCCAATATTGGGATTTCTTGAATCTGCAGATGAATGGGTTGGGGAAGTAGCATGATTTAAGTCTGGTATCTTTAAATTAGAGGTGCTTCACAAGATTAGTAAATTAGAACATTTTACTGACCTGGAAGCATTTGTTATAATCTTGGGTCAGTTACAAGGGAGGAAAACACACTCAAGTTTAAGGGAACATGAAGCTAGTTCATAAATGCTGATTGTATAGAAGTCTTCTGGTACAAATACATTGTCAGTATAGACAGTGTACCACCAGCAGCCTTGTCTACATCAATAAGCAGCCAGCATCAGTTTTTAGATTTAACACTTCTAGTAACATGTCTTCTACAAAACAAAACGGGCACTTTTTTGAAAGGCTTTGTCAGTGACCCTTACAATCTGTGTTAAGCATATGGAATCCTACTTGCAAGAGAAAGGAGGAGTACCTGAAAGAGAATCTCACCGGATGTGGGTTGCTATTAATGAAGGCATGAGTTTTGCTGAATTTTATCTGATCTGATTTTCCTTTTGTGAAGCAGTAGACTGTTGTGTGACTAGATGGTATAGTTTTCAAAGTATCTTGAACCAGCAAGCTGATCTCCGTGTGATGTTACTGCAGAGCTGTTTTGCAGATCAGCAAAGGAGGAGACTAATAACTCATCAGTGCCTCAGAAACTTAAGCTCGTTAACAGAACTATTCAAAATATCCTATAATTTTACGTTTCATTTTTCATGATGCTTTCTTCTGTTTCTGCCAGTAGTTGAGTATCTGTTGATACTTCTTTTTTTTTTTCGAGAGCTCTGCTTGTTAAATGTTAATTGATATGATTGTTATCAACATGAACATAGTAATCACTGAATTAGTCACCTGTAGAGGATTAGTCATCTGCACTGTTCAACACTGCTGAATTTTTATAAGCATTTACATAAAAATCACATCTTCTGAATGTACTGAGTTCAGACAGGTATAGATTTTTTTCATATTCAATTAGAACCTACCAGTCAGTTGTGTATTTAGATCTCTACAAAATATAATATAACTTTTCAGTTAAGAAGAGCTTAAATCAATTTAAATTCCTTCTTTGAGAGGGTAATAGGCCAAATAGCTAAAATGGGGGGGAGGGTGTGATTTCAGTTTCTTTTTAAGATTTTTTTTTTTTTTAATACGGTTTTGTGTGAGTAAAGTAAGCTAGGAAAAATGTAAATTACTGTAATAGTTATATAAAACTGTTTAGAAAACTATAACCAGAGAGAGTTGTCAAAACGGAGGGTTATATCGAGTAGAATGCTAACAGGAGTCTGTCCCAGAGCATGAGGAACCAGGACCGTGTCTTGTAGTCTGCAGTGCATTTGTCTTACAGCATAGATACTGTCATGAGCTGCAGTGACATCTTTAAGCTTGTTGCCAGACATCAAAATAGTTTGTCAACACTGCAGCAGAGTTTGTCCAAGTTGTATTGTTAACTGCAAATTGCTTGAGCCTAGTAGGACCTTCTGTTACTATCCAGTATATCATAGGATGCATTTGTTATTCAGTAAATGCACGTGAAGCACAGTTTTGTAGGAAATCTTCACTGTCCTGGGCAGAGACCCAGCCTTCTGTGGGTGGTTCTCAGTGTGCTGTTCTACAAGTAGATATCCTGTTGTCAGTATATTAAAACTGGTATGCCAGTGTCTATTTATGCATTTGGATGGATGAAGTAATTGATAAGAGTTTCAAAAATTACTTTTGTTTTCATCCACACAGCAGTGCCCATTTTTTACATATGCTTATGTGTATCTCTGTGCAAGTTGCAGGAGGTAATGTACTCTTCAACAACTTAGGTTCATTATTACAAAATTCATAAGTTTACTTCTGCGTTAACTGATGTGGCATATGGGAAATAAAATCATACTTTCCCATTTTCCTTAGATCTGTGTAGCTTAAACTGTGTACAAGAGGCATTTTTTCTTTTCAGAAGATAGATTTATGGATTTTATTGTTTTTAGATAAGTGATGCTTCTGTGAGTTTCCTTTCAATGTCCAAAGCCATGGTATCCAGAACATGAAAGGGGGAAAAAAAGAAATTTAAATGTTTAAGCTGTTTATGTGCTACCCAAGATAGTATTAAACAGCTTATGCTGACCTTTCTCAAAGTCTTAAAGGGAGACTTTTTCTTAAAAAAAAAAATTTTCTTCCCTATCGCTTTTATTTCTTGAGTATGTTTATAAACTTACATACAGTTTAGAGTATGTATTGATCAATTAAAAGACTTCACTGTTTGCATTTTAAAACTTCAATGTAGTTTGTTGTGAAATTAAAAATATTGAGGAAAAAAGTTTATGAGGGTGCAAATAAGTTAATATTCAGAACAGATACTACTAAGTAGCATGCTTTTAAGCATCCTCATAGTATTTCCATGAGATAATAGGTTTTTGTTTCCCCATTTTATACCGATGCTGAAGTCCGAGGCAAAGAGATTAAGTGACTGTGAAATACCATTTAAAAGAAAGTTGGCACAAATGTCTCTCTTTAAGGTAGGGGAGTTAATGGAGACAAAACACATGCTAGGATTCAGGCAGACAGTATTCTTCCTTGTCATCTTTTTCATTTCTTTAGTTGTGGCCACTGAGCTTGTGTTTTACCCTCCCCCTTTAAAATTCTTGAATGAACTCCATGGATTAAATTCTGGCTTTGTTGAAGTTGGTGCTGAAATTTGCATTGACATAGATTGTGCAGGAAATACAGGGGAGGGCCAGCAGCTTAAAAATGCATTATTAAATTACTGTCTGCTTTTTTAGCTTTCTCTGTTGTCCCCTTCTATTTTTATTCAGTGGGTGTTGAAAGCAAGTGATACTTAAATGCACAGTTGATCTGAGCGTGAAATGTTCTTGATAGCTGCATTCTTGCCGGAAGGAACAGGATAATGACCTGTGCTTGGTGACATAACTGTGTTTCACACTCCAAAATCTGGTCTTAAATTGCATGATTGTAATCTATTCATAGAAACTCCCAAGTACTGTATTGATCATGCTTTCAGTAAACTAGTTGGAAGTTTTTACGTCAATTTAGGTTTTACATGGATATTATTTAAATGAAAGTACAGTACCTTATCATACTGGTACAATTTTTATAGCCCTTAAAAGGCAAAAGTATGTAAGATTTTTTTTTTTTTTCTCTCCATGTTTCTGCTAGAGGATTATTTAGTACCACTGCATTCCAGAGGAAACACTTTTTTTCCAAATTACTTACGGTGATTCTTCCCTAATTTTACAGAAAAAATAAAGCAATAATCACTTCAGCAATAAGCAATTAGCACTTCCTGGGTGAGCTCAGACCAGGAATGACACATGTGAACTGTTTATGTCTGAACTGTCTGTATGTGCCTCATTCTGGCATTGAGGCTCTAGCCTTCACTGTCCTGTGAAAGGAATTTTCCTTGGTAATAGCTTAAAATAAGAGAGCTGCTTTTGTGATCATCAGAGATTAATTAGGAATCATTTTTCTGGACAACTCAAAATTTGAATTACTCTAAACATATGTTGCATATGTGATATGACTGCATGATGTATCAATGTAGATTTACTTGGAATGCAAAAGGCATTCTCATCTCTTTATAGCAGTTTTCTATGCAAAGTACAAACTCAAAGATACCCCATTCAGCTTTGGGCTGCATCTGCCATCATACAAGTTTAATTGCACAGAAAATTGTGTTAGAGACATCATTGACATGAAACAGCATTGTCTGTTTTCTCTTGAACTAGATCCTAAATTTACTTGTAAACAGTAGTTATTTTTATTTAAAATATTTGAAATTTCAAAGTCAAAGTAACTTCTTCATTAAAGACAAGGCTGAAATAAAGTGGAAGACTTAGAGTTTCATTCCTATGTAAGACCTGTTTAAAGACGAAAAGTCTTTTGAGAAATATGACATTAAGAAGTTACAGTGAAGAACTGCAGTGAAGCAGGTCATTACCCAGTCTTGCTTTTGGAGGACTTCTGAAGCGCACCATTTTCTTCTATATATTGTCTGAGTGGGTCAACCAGCTTCATACTGTTGGCAGACTCACACAGAGGGACAAATAGATTTAACTGAAGTTTTCACATGTCCTAATATGATTTATGTATGGGTTCTGTCACCCCGAAGCAGCTTTCATTCCTGCTTCTAAACTGGGATTTATTTTTTTTCCTTTAAACATTTGAGAGAAA